GGGTGATGCATTAACCCAAGTACCAATCCTTACTAGGGGTGACTTAGATACCAGTGAAAAATGTTTCTTATACTTATTGTTCACTCAATGTTTATTTAAGGAATAAGGGAACTTGGTAAATAGTAGTAACATCTGATGTTGGAATATTTTTAAATCACAGAGATAGACTAAAATTTTTATGCTGACTTCTAATAGTTTTTCAATAATCACCTCATCTCTTGGTTTATAGATAAGGACTCTAAATAACCATACCGTCCTAATGAGGATGTATTATTTATGGGTACTGGAAGAGTAATTTTAAATGAGAAGTTCAGGAAGGTCCAGTATTTGATTCAGTAAGTAAATCCCAAAATAATTACTAAATAATGCCATTTTAATTAAGAGAAGCCTTCTGGCTAGGATTCAGTTTAATTATTAAATCCTTAAAAGTTAAGACACATGAAGATTAACTGATAAGCTCCTAGACAAATTTTTTTAAAGGTAAGCATTAAAATAACACAATTAAAAAACTCCAGTATAACTATTACTCACTTTACAGAATTCACATTCACCTGGAGGTTCACAAAGTCTGCAGGTATGTCAACATAGCAAGCACCTGGACGACCATAAATACTGCTTCTTACTGCCTAAATTTATTACAAATAGAAAAAAAAAAATTTTAAATCTCATACCTTACTATCATATTCCTCTCAAAGATAACTTAAAAACTGTGAAATGAATATTATTTTAATTTTTCTGGACATCCTTAGTCATAGAAATAAACAATTTTAATTAAAATTGAAATACTCTCTATTGATTCTATATATAGTTGACCCGTGAACAATGCAAGAGTTGGGGGATACCAACACCCGACATAGTAAATATCTGTGTACAGCTTTTGACTTTCACAAAACTTGCCTACTGTTGACTTTGCCGATAACATAAACGGTTGATTTACACACTCTTTGTATGTTATATGTATTATACACTATAATCTTACAGTGATGTAAGCTAGAGAAAATAAAATGTTGAGAAAGTCATAAAAAAGAAAAAATACATTTACAGTACTGCACATATTGAAAAAAATTTGCATTTGTAAGTGGACCTATGCAGTTCAAACCCATGTTGTTCAAGGGTCAACTGTATTTTATTTATTTTTTTTAATTAAGTTTATTGGAGTAACATTGGTTAATATAATTATATAATTTTCAGGTATACATCTCAACTGTATTTTAAAACATATTTTTGTTTAAAAGAAAAGAGATAAGAGATACTCATTTAGAGCTTTAAAATTCATGTTCTGTTACACTTCAGTCTTAGAAATTAACCACTGGGCTCTGTAACATACACTTTCACCTGCTTCTTAAACCTAATGATTTGGCAAAGTTTTCAGAAACTGTAATGTATCAAATGGTTTTCATAACATATGGTTTTGAAACAGCTCATAAATAACTTCATATATAAATGTTAGCTAACTAAAATGATAATATGCTGTTTAATCAACTAAAATATATACATTAGTACTAATTTTCAAAAATAATCTTTTGCAAAAGCATAAGAGAAAGGGCCCCCAGATTTTTATGATATCTTTCTGTTTACTTTTCCATAGTTAAAAAAGTTATTTTTAAAGTTAAGTATAAAAGGAACTTTTTTCAAAAATAACTCATTTCTATAATTAAATATAATGGCAGCGATCATTAAAATGTAAATAGCTCTTTAATGATATAATTTTTAATGGCCTGAATATATTCCAAATTGTTACTTATTCAATTGAGAATAAAAATAACACAGGTTATGAGCAACAGAGAAAAATCAGTTGACTTGGAGAGCTTGTAACTAGACACTGTACCTTTTCGATAATAGTGGGAATAGCTTCTACGCTGCTTGGCCGTGCAGAGAATTTACTATATAATCTACAAGCTTCGACCTATATGCAGAAAGAAAATTACTTAAAATTCAGTTCACAGGTCAAATTACTCTTCTGAAGGAAGACAAATGTTAAGTCATTACTTTCTATTATGTTCGGAGGCAAGATGGAGAAAATACATTACTTGGACTGTTTCTTAAAAGCCTATACAAAGCACAAATTTCTGCCTTAGTTTGATTCAGGAAGCAATTAAAACAAGACACTATTTTCATTTCTCAGACTGGCAAAAATGAAAAACTTAGATAATACCCAGCATATGCTACAATACAGGAAAACAGGCATTCTCATAAACTGCTGGTGAGAGTATAAATGGGAAGGGAAGTCGACAAAGTCTTCTAAAAATTAATATGAATATATCCAGAAATTACACAGCCAGGAATACACAACTTCATCTGTTATATCTCGTTACAATAATATTCTTACATTTCTGCCAGTTTTTCTGTTATATATTTTGCTGGTATGCTGTTTGGGTCATATGAATTCAGTAGTGTTACTTTTTCACTATTTAGTGTACTCTGAAGCATTATAGAAACTTTTTCTTGATACCTTTTGGTATGAAATCTATGGAATAATTGGTAGTCTTCGTCCCACAAGTATGACAGAATTTAGATTACCCTCCAATTTTTAGTCTGTTCATGGTCATATCATTTAGTTTTAAGTACTTCCACAAGAAACAGATATTTGGATTGTAAATCAAATCGGTGATCTCTCTCTTCAAATTTTTTAACCTCTTATTCTCCTTCTCTGGAAAAAAATTTTGTAATGGACAATATTCTGATTTATTTTTTTCATCTATACTTTAAATTTCCTTTTAAACAACTTATCTGCTCAACTTATTTTTCAAATACGTGTATCAGCTTCTTTTAAATAACTGCTGTTATTCTCTACCATTAACTAAGTAAAATTTCAATTCCTTTTCAAGAGTATAAAAATATAACTTTTTCATTAACCTATACTAAGATCTAATATTTTATATCAGTTTAAATCATATGTAAAATTCTGTTTATATTTTGAAGTTCTCAAAATGATTCCTGATTTACCTAAACTCTAGAGGAAAAAAAATCTTAGAGTTGGATACCTGAGGAAACTCCTGGAAGGCTCCCATTGTTTCCTGACTTCTTTCAGAGGAACCGCCAATCACAATCAAGGGCCTGAAATATTCATAATTTTAAAGGGGAATTACAAACAAGATCAACCTGGGAGTTCCAGTCAAGATGGCAGCAGAGTAGGTAAACGCTGTGCTCATCTCCTCTCATGACCACATCAAAATTATAACTACAGAACAATCATCACTGAGAATCACCTGAAGTCTAGCTGAACAGAAGTCCTATAACTAATGATATACAGAAGCAGCCACCTAAAGACTGTATAAATCGGCAGCTGTAAAAGTCATGGAGATGTACAGCTTAGGGAATATAGTCAATAATATTGTAATAACTACATATGGTGTCAGGTGGGTGAAAGGCTTATTGGGGGGATCATTTCATAAGTTATATAAATGTCTAACCACTAGGTTGTACACCTGAAACTAATAAAATATTGAATGTCAACTGTAATTGAAAATAAAAAAACTTTTTATTATTCACATTAAAAAAGAAAAAAAGGAAGAAAATGAGATCAACTTCTAAAATCCTTAGCAAAGTGCCCAATGAATAATAAATATTCAATGAATGTTAAAAAAAAGAGAGAGAAAAAGAATTACATATCCCCTTAAAAATTGCAGATTCAAAAAACTTTAGGAAATAATCTGGTAAGAGAGACCCCTTCTTCGATTTTGGAAAAATCTAGAATTTATAGTATATGTTTTTTCTCCATACCCTTTTCTTCTTTGCCCCTTTGGATGCTGATGTTAAACCTCTAGGCATGGAGATGTAAAATGAATTTTTATGCCCTTCCTATTATTCTTGGGATTAAGGGGAAGAGAAAATTTTTTTCACACTTTCCTAAGTGAGTCTATTCGGAAATGAGAGAAATTCCTCAGCCATGACACTCTTATCCTTCAAGGAGAAAACAAAAGATATAGTAAGGCTAGTTACTCAAAATATATCAGACCCTAAAGTAAATAAGAAAGACTTATTTACTTTAAAGTAAATAGGAAAGAAGGAAGGGAAGAAGGAATATAAGAAACACATGGCAAGAAAGAAAAAAAATGTCCTACCTACTAGGAAAATTAAATATTTTATGAATTGATTAAAACATTACCCACTTTAATGCAATCTTATTGGTTGGTAAAGTACCAGAGATGGGGTTGGGGGCAAGGTCAAAGAGTAAGTACTAAGCAGCTTATAGCAAACTCAATAATATAATAATTTCAATAGTCTTGCTAATTATGCAAGAAAAGATGAAAAATTAAATACATTCTTGCATATTGAGCTGAGATCTTTAAAAAATAGTTCTTCACTTAAAGAGAACTATTCACATTCACATACATATATATATATTTTATATATATATGTATATTCTAAAATGTCAACAAGGTTTATCTCTAGATAAAGGAATTACTGATAGTTTAAAATTTTTCTTCCTAATAGTCTTCTTAATTTTTTACTAAGTCATTCTCTCAAGTGCTTAATTCCAAGTCTTCCCACCCCAGATCAGTGGTTGCTCCACTAGGTAAAATCATGCATTAATATTTTTAAGAAAATGTTTTTAATAAGAACTATCTAATTACCAACAGTTCATGTTTGCGTTTGCCATACCACCCAAGGCATGCACGAGACCTGGGCCAGAAACAACAAGGCATACTCCCGGCCTAAAAGCAAAATAATTTATTGTATTAAAAGGAGTTCAAACACACCATTGAAATCATATCACTTTAGGGTGAAACATGGTAACCTTGGTAAAACAATTATTAAAATACTTTTGAATTAGAAAAAAGAGAAAGATATGAGTCTTCCTGAAAGAAATAAGGTACCTATCATTTTCACATTGTATTTCACTAACCTCTTCATATTCTGCTCCTACTACATTAGGGCTAAGTCAAGCTGACTGCATACAGAAGCAAAGTTTGATTGCTGAGGACATTTTTGTATGGAAAAAAGAAGAGTTTTAAAATTTTTCTTAACAAGTAAATATGTCAACTGATCTTTGACAGAAAGTAATTCTGAAATGTAGTGTTTTGTCCAAATTTTTTAAATTGAACTTGAATGTTTTACCCTAGATGATGTCTAAGCTTAAGCACTCAAGGAAAACGTATCCTCATTCATTCGGTTGGCCATTTTACATTTATAAAGTAATTTCTTAAGAACCTCAATTTAAGACAGCCTTTAAAAGAAATTGAAATAAAACAGACTTTTGTTTACCTGCCCGTCAGATACCCAACCGCAGAGGCAGCATAACAAGCCTACAAAGAAAAAACACTGGGTCTTAAGTACATTGGGATCCTTAAAGTAAGCACATGTATAATAATTTTACTATTTAGTAAAAGACAAGAACCTAATTATGAAGGAAGAAATGGAACACCTTCCATTTTAACAACTAATGTTTCCCCTGTAGATTTCAAATAATGGTTTAGATATCTAATCGTTTTTAGTTTTTCAAGGAATTTGTCCATATCACCTAGTATATTCATAATATCCTCTTACGATTATGTAAATATCTTCAGGATCAATAGGGATGTCCTCTTTTTTATTTCTAACAGTGGTCATTTGTGTTTTTTCTCTTTTATTCTTCATCAGTTTTGTAGAGATTTATTAAATTTATTAATCTTTTCAAAGAACCAATTTTTGGCTTTGTTGATTTTTCTCTAGTGTTCATTTGTTTCCTTTCATTGATTTCTGCTCTTGTATTTATTATTTTACTCCTTTCATTTTGGGTGGAACTTGGCTTCCTTTTTCTAGCTTCTTCAAATGTAAGTTCAGAGCACTGGTTTTTGATCTTTTTCACTAATAGATTCATTTGAAACTCTTCGAAGAACTGCTTTAGCTATAGTTTACAAGTTTGATATCTCATCTTTTCATTATAACTCAACTCAAAATATTCTCTATTTTGGAGGTGGTTCCATAGTGTAGCGGTTAGCACATCTGCTTTACACGCAGAAGGTCCTGGGTTCTCACCCCAGGTGGAGCCACGGACTATGCCCCCAGTGCTCCAGGCCCCCTAGGCCCACCCAAGCGCCCCCAGACATGTGGGAGGAGACACCCGGCCTTCAAAGATCCAGCTCTTAAGGGGAAACAGCAACATCCATAAGTCAGGGGTGAAAGTGGCAGGGGTAATTAGAGGTGGGGGGGAAACATCCTCTATTTTGGGGGGGCGGAATAATCTCTATTTTGATCTCTTCTCCAAGCCATTGGTTGATTAGGGCCCACAGAGATGTTTCCTCTTTCATTCCTGACAATTTGTATTTTTCTTCTTTTATTCTTGATTAGTCTACCCTGAAGTTTATTGATTTATTAATCATTTCAAATATTTACATAGTAAAATGTTATTTAATGTCCAGAAGTTTGGGGGTTTTCTTGTTATCTTTCTGTTACTGGATTCTAGTTTATTTCCACATGGTCAGGTTACATATACTGTATGTTTTCAATCCTTGGAGATTTATTGAGATTTCCTTTATGACTTGTATATGGTTAGTTTTTATTTTTAAACTGTACTTCAGCTTATAACAGGAAGAGAGGAGGTGCTAAATTAAATACAAGATAACCTAGAGAAATGAAAAATGCTCTTCTTAAATAAATCCTTCTTAGTTTGGAACATCATCCTTTCTAGTATTATTTCTTCTCATTGTTTTAGAAGTAATAATAAACTGGGCATTTTCTAACCTCCATTCAACTTTATATGTGGTATACTAAACTTAAATAAACCCATATTAAGGACATAAGTGAAAAAAATTAAAAATAAATTTTTACGAATAATCTTAATTGGCACCAACACATGCTAAAGGTGCACAAAGGCACTGTACCTTTTCCATGTTGCTATTCTCCATTGGCCCTTTTCTCTCTTGCACAAGGCAAAGTTCACATAGGACAATAATAAGATAATTCAATGACAATAAGATAATGCAAGAACACTTACTTAGAAACTGAGGAGTACTGCCCACTTATTAAAGCAGGGTAAGAAATGCTGCTGCAGAACTTAAAATAGAAAACAACATATAACAAAAATTATATTTCTCTGGTAACAGCTATCAAAAGTTGAAAAGGAACTGGTTTTGTGATCATAAAAAAATCTATTTCTCTACCAATTACCACCACTCACAGGCAGAATAGCGTTTGTAGTTCTTAAAAGAGCAGACTCTTAGGACCAAATTGTTTTGATTCAAGTCCCAGCTCCCTTAATTTTCACTGTGTAATTTTGGAAAGTTACCCTGTACTCCGGCTTCCTCGTGTATAAAAGAAACATAATTCACAGCATTGCTGTGAGGATGAAATCAGTTAACACATGTAAAACTCTCAGAATGGTGCCTGTACACAGTAAGCTCTCAATAGCAGTTAAAATTCTAATAGTCTGGAAAACTGGTCAATATATGTCTTGATTACTCTAAGGATCTGATGAAAGACAATCAAGTCACAACCAATTACACCTTTCTCTTTAGTACAAATATGCAATGAGATGCCAAAACTTCTGCTCCTCGAACAGCTTCCGAACCCGTTCTCACATTCTCTCTTAATCGTCCTGTCATTACCCTTAGTTCAGGCACTAGTTAAGTCTTTCTTTGATTGCAAAGAGTCAGGTTGACTGAAGGGCATATACACTGGGAATCTCAAACTCATTATGTCCAAATTTGAACTCAGTACCTTTCCCCTTCAAATTGCTTCTTCCCTCTGTATTCCTAATCTGAGTCACTGGCATTATGATCCACCTAGTCATTCAAGCAAGGCCAAACCCATGAATTATCTCCAGAAGAGCCTGTTCTCTCCTTCCTAGCCGGTTAATGCCCATCATCCTTTAGGAAAGCTTAGGCATCATCTCCTCCAGGAAACCTTCTCTGAAGTCTTAGGCTGAGCAGGGTACCCTTTTCTGAGCTTCCACAGCACCCTGGATATATCTCAATCATGGAACTTATCACATTATAATAAAAGTGTTTGTGTCTATCTCCACAGCTAGGTTCTAAGTCCCTCAAGGATAGGAACTGTCCTTCATCTCCATATCCAGTGTCCCACAAAGCACCTGGGACCTAAGGAGGCCCTCAACTAATTTTATGAGGACTGAAATAAAACTTCAAGCTGCCTTTCTGATCCATACTCTATATCACCACAAAAACCATCTTTCTAAGGTACAAATCTAATTATGTTGCCCACCTATTTATAAAAACTTTTACAGTCTCACCCAATGCCTATTGAAAAAATTCCACACTCCTTTTCCAGCTATAGATATCTCTACAACCTCCCTTTGGCCTATAAATCCAGTCTCACAGGCCACTATGCATTTAAGCTAGCTTACTGGAACAACATGAACAAATATTGCCTCTATAGGTAATCTTCTCTGTCCTATTCAAAGAGAACCAGTCATGCTTTATATGTACTGTCCCATATACATATATCTATTTTGAGGTATTATACTCGATAAATTTTTGGTATGTCTTGTCCTCACCTTCCTAGACTGTAGGGAGCTAAAGCTCCCCAAATTCAAAAGAGTGCATGGTTTATCTCGGGAGGCCTGCTTGCATAAAAAGGAAAAGGCTGGTTCTGTGGAATTCCAGGAAGAAGAAGATTAAGTATAGATAAAGGGAGTGTCAAAGGAAGTGTCGATTGTGCCTTGATCTTCAGGATGTTACTTTAATTATGTTATCTTGGGAGACTCAAAGGAACAGATTATGTATAAAAAGAAGGATAAGAAATAAAGTCGGACAGTTGTGAGATCTGTTCTCCCTCCTGCACCTGTCTGTCTTCTCTTTTTTCTCAGTCCCCGCTCCCCCATTCAGGTACCCGGTTTGACTTGGTCGGCTGGCTTCCGACACTAGACTGTGATCAACTTGAAGATCAAGACTAAACCTCATTCCTTCATATATTTCCCACAGGTTACGTAACACAGCACCTGATATATACTACGTACTCAATAAATATCTGCTGTATAAAGAAGAAACCAGTCATCCCGCCACTAGGAAAAACAGTAAAATATAATTTCCATTAAGAGGTCATCAGCTTCACCTTCTCACACAGATGAAACAGAATGTTGCTCCAACTAAGAAAAGTAGAAGGTAGAAGCAACACAAACTCAAGATCCATTAGTTTTAAGATTAAAAAAAAAATTTCTCAAATCTCATAGATAAGGAATGTTATTCATTAAAGAAAATGTAGTAAGATCTACATCATGCAGAAACCCTAAACAAGCCAGGCACTGTGGAGACTTGAGAAATGAACCACAATTCCTGCTCTCCAGGAGCTCACATCTGATGGCAAAGAAAGGGCATCCCTTAAGGAGGTCAAGGCAGCTTGTCTGGGCCAGAAGTGGCAAAAGCCTCAATTACAATTTAAGCCAGTATTGCTGAGAAAAGGGTGAGGCTAGGTTAACAGAGGAAGAACTGAGACTGGTTTGACAAAATAGCTTATCTTCCTTTCTCATGCTTCCAAATAAGCCTCGAAGAAAGGTGGCAGCATTTTTTGGGACACCTGGGTTCCAATCATGGCATTATCACTTGTGATATCTGTCACCTTGTAGGGCCATCCACTATAAAATATGAGACTTGGTCTTCACTCAGTCATCTGCCAGGTACTCCCTGAGTACCCATCCTGTGCAGGAACCACCTAGGGGAATACAGATGTGTCAAGAAGAAACAATATCCCTGTCCTCATGGACTGGAGCTGACAGCCTAATAGGGAAGTCTGACCAGGCAAATAATACACAGAAATAAACATATAATAGGTAGTTATGAGAGTGAAGGACAGGGGGCCCCCATTCAGACCTGGAAACTGTCCCAGTTCTGATACTCTACACCTGGCAGAGCACAATTGGGTAGTGTTAAGAACATGGACTCCAGACTCAGAATACCTGGGTTCAAATCCTGAGTCTGACAATAACAGCTGTCACCTCTAACAAGTTACTTAACTTCTGTCTCACTTTTCTCATGTCAACTAATATTAACAGTTCCTGCCTCATATGATTGTTGTGATTGTTATGTGTAAAGTATTAGGATACTGGTAAGCACTAAATGTCTGCAATGAATGTTTCTCATTTATTAGTCATTAACAATAATGCGTTCGGCTCCCAGGGTCCATACTTACCGCTTGCTCATTCCTCATCCCGATGTATCTGATGCCCAGTCGCTGGGCCGCAAAGGCGATTTCGAACACTGGGATGCCTACGATGCCAAACATGAACTCCACATTCTGGTGACCAAGAACAAAGGAATAAATGCCCGTGTCCCCGCCACACCTTTCCGTCCCAGAAGCTAAAAGGAAAATCTCACGCCAACCTCCCTATCTCCCACTTCCAACGCTCTCCGCGTCTCCAAGATAACACCTCGGCCCCCGCAGGCTTCCCTAGGGTCCTTTTACTGCAGGGAGGTCATTCATACTTGCGTTTTCAGGGCCTGCGCGATAACTGTAGCACCAGACACCTTCTCCTCACTTGTGTCACTGCGCTCTGCGAAGTTACTTTCCAACATTTTTCACTCTCGCAGTCGGCAGCAAGCTGACACGGGGTCGGTCACCTTGCAAAAGTAACGTGGTAGAAACCAAAGCACCAATTGTGGGGCCCCCTTCCTCCGACTGACAGGAAGAAGGCAACCAACCGCTTTAAACAGCAGGAAGGAAGGCGGGACTAAAACCAGCCCACGCTCCGGGAGAGGTGAGAATGTAAACACACGCTCTCCAATCAGAACCGCGCCGTGGTGCACACTGTTCCGTTCGTGGGATCAGTGTCAGGAGTCGGGGCCAGCAAGAGACCGTGACCTGTGCCCAGCAGGTAAGAAGGCGAACCTCAGAGGCCTCTCGCCACTATTGTCGTGAGCCATTTCGGGCCCCGCATAGTCGTTGCGGGAGGAGGTCTAGGAGAAGGGGCGGAAGGGGGCGTGGCGCGCTCCTGGCCCTGCCCGGGCCGGGGCCGCTCTGGGGCTGCAGGCCAGCGCCGCCAAGGCTGCAGGAGCAGAGCCGGGCTGCATGGCTCCTCGCGTTGGGCAAAGTCATTGAGTCACACCATACTTCTGCCTCCCCTGTGTTGTAGCTATTACACGCTTTTTAATTTATGCTTTCATAACTTTGTGGCTCCACAACCCATGAAGCATAGTAACACACGGATGTACGTTCATTTAATCCGGAGGCGAATGTGCACTCTTTAATTCCATATTATGGATAAGGACATCTAGTTTCCAAGCAAGAAGTAAATTAACATTTCCAGAGCTATTGGACCCAGACCATGCTTCAGAATCCCAATCTTGTACTCTATTCGCTGTTCAACCCTTTGGCTATAGAAGATAAGAATGGCTTCTTGAACGTAGTTACTTTTGACCATGTTTCTTCTAACCCTCGCCTAAATCCACATTACTCTCTTATCTTTCCAAAGTCAGAAAATGTGGCTTTTCATAATTTTTAGGTTCCGTCCCTATATACAGCAGCCCCTGCCTGCGGCTTATAACCTTTTAAAACACATTTTTTTTAATGAAACAGATGCTTTCGATGTGCGATTTCTGAGGCTAAGACCCCAGGCTCATTAGACCATCTGCTCAATAACAAAATCTCCAATCATAACAAAAAATGGAACTTTAAATATTTGAGGATTTGGAGTGTTTTAAAGCAAAGACCAGTAATACACCTCGATAAAGAGACAAAAAGAGAGGGGAGTGTGTCATGGGTAGTGAAATGAATGAAAAGCATTGGAAGTGAAAGGATTTCTAAACCCAGAAATTTTCAGATTACAGACCCGGGCCCTTCTAAAAGGTCTTCCTCTCCAGATATCAAGCCCTAACTCTCACCTCAAGTAGAGGAGAGGGAAATGCTAGCCCCACTGGATATGGGGATGTAGTCTAAGGGTAGTCCACCTAAGAGGGAGATTTCTTTGAAGTCTCAGAGTTCATCTAAAAAATAAATACAGATTTTATGTTCTCCAGAATGTATCCATATTTTACTAGAAAATGATCCTTTTATTTAGGTGAAATAAAGGTACAATTAAATGTACAGATCTTAAATGTTAGATGAGTTTTGACAATTGTATATACCTATGTAACCACCGCTCAAAATCAAAATGACATTTTAAACTATTTACCTGTCAAGTAAAACTGACATTTCAGAAAGATGCAAAATGTCCTTTATGTGGCTTTGAATGACTCTTGTCCTTGTTTAAGAAGCGTTAAAATAAAAAACGGAGACCAGCCTTGAAAATTCCCTGAGCAAACAAAAGCAGTTAGTCACACAAAGTTTAATTAAGCTTATTTTGCAAGAATAACTGGCCTATCTTTCTTGCTTATGCCACTGGAAATCATAAGCAAAACTTGAACTGTTTCCCAAAGTTGATATGAAGTAACCACTGAAAATTCTAATAGTATAACCAGTCACTGTGAAGAATAAATAACCATTGCCTTCTCACTGTATAAGCTGCTTTATAGCATGCCCTTGAGCCTCATTCTATGTTTTGGTTTGATTGCCAAAACTGTTGGTTTGCAGACTGTCTTCTTGGTGTGTGCACAATAAATTTTTACTACTTATTATTTCAGTGATTCATTCGTTATACTTAACGTATTTCTTAACTTTTGACAGAAGCGTGGACCCCATCCCTTCTGTTATGTAGTAGTTTATATTCAGTACCTATGTGACAGTCTCTACCCCTATTGCATCAGAATCACTTGGAAAGACTTTAAAAATACAGTTACTTGGGCCCTGCCCCATATCCTCTGCATCAGCATCTTAGGACAAGTCAGGCACCTGTTTTTTTTCAAAGCTGCCACCTAATTTTGATTTGCAGCCTGACTTAAGAAGCACTTACGTATGATTGTTACCAAAGTAAAACCATTGATTAATTTGGATTTACAAGTTCAAGATCTGTTTGACATTGGCAGAACAGACTGTAGTTATTCAGTTAATGGGACCTTATGTCCACTTCTGTGTCAAAAGAATTGCTGACAGAATCACTCAGTGGAAAGTGTAGTGGACTCTGAACTGTGAATTGGAATAAATCTGCTGAATTCAGATTAACTTGTTTTGCAAAAGGGTAATTTCTCAACAGACTGGATTCTGCCTTTTGGCAAAGGGAAAAGTCAGACTTTATAATCGCTTTCACCTCGATACCTTTCAGTCCAGGGTACAACATTCCATCTCTTCGATAGGGTCTGATGATTCAGCAGAAGTGAGGAGAGTCCTCATCCGCAGTATTGGCAGGCACTGGAAGCACCTCCTTCTAATCTAACTGTAATTACAAGATTTCAGGGTTCTTTTGTAATTTATCCAAGGCCCTTTGTGCAAGCTTTGTAAAGATTAACCACATTCTTTATTACTTTCGTTGGTAATTTAATTTTGTTGGGTATTTTATTGGGATTTTATTTGGTTTTGTTTATTAATTAATTTATTGGTGGACATAGGTCAAGGGAGGAATAGGTTTAATTTTTTTAAAAGCAAAGGCCAAAGTAATGCTAACATGCTCTGCAAAGAGCAGAGCCAGTCATCAAACAGTTTTCATACCAATTATTCTATTTGTGAGTGCTGGAACTGAGATTATAAGAGGGTTATTTGGCAGCTTTCTTCCCTCTGGGTGGAGAGAATATCCAGGCAACCACATAATTTAGTAAAAGTTGCAAATATCATGCCTGGAGAAAATATACTCTTTAAAGATTTATAACAGCGAGCTCCTGCAGGTGGTAACTCTTTAGCCCTCCAATATTACATCTTAATTTCAGTGAATTAAGAAGGACACTCAAAATCTTTGTGATTGTTTAAAAGCATAACCCAGGCTAAGCCTTTGAGAAATATTCTCACAAATATTTTATCAAAATGTGAAGTGTTCGGTTATCAAAAGAAGAAATGAATTCGGGGTTTTGTGATCCATTATAGAATGGCTGAAATAAAAGAAGGCAGAAATGAAATATCTTAAATACAAACAAAAAGCAAGCAACAATAACAAAACAAGAAATCTATGTAGAACACTTTTTTAGAACAAACATTGAAAACGGTACAGCAGGAAATGTGCTATAGAAAATATATCAACATAAACAGAGCAGGAAATAATATAACCAAGTAGTTCTTTGAATAAAACCATTTAAGTTGCTTTTGATTGCTTCTCATTAAAATATTTATGGACCGCAAAGTACCAAAGCTTAGACATAGGCTCGAAGCAAAACCAGTGAAAAGCAACTTTATTATTAAACTGTCAGGGATAGATTTAATGCCTGGTACCAGTGGACAGACACTGGGAGTTTTTCCCAGTGACTGTCTAACTTAGAGAAAAGCTGGATTCCAGCCACTGCCTTGGGCTGGCAAGCCCTGTATTTTTACTATGCGTTTTGATCCCAATGAGACCCAGAAGTGGAGCGGGGAGCACTGCAGGGAAGCAGGGTGCAGAAACTGAAGGAACATTGTTTCCCAGTTTTAGCTTTGTCTTCATCGATTGTGTTGTTTCTGTTTTTAAAGCAAATTTATAGTAGTTTGACATCAACAATGTGTAAAATGTATTAAGAAATGGTGACAATTGTTATGTCATGCTATGAGGACGTACGAGATCTCAAATGGCTTAGAAATTATAGTCCAGCATTTCTCAATATGGCAGAACTCCACACTTGGGGGTAGCCCAGGGGTGGGGGGCGGGGGTGATATCAGTCTTTACATGTTTTCTGTTTTTGTTTCTTCCGTTTTGCCATTAACTTTCATTACATCCGCCTCCTTTAGCTTTTTAAATTGTAACTTACTGTTTTGTTTTGCCTTTAATCCATTATTTGTCAGCAAAACAAAGAATGAGCTCTTGGCAGAATCTCTGATTCCTAGGGTTAAGACTCGAACTGGGGTGTAAGCCAGGTTAGAGACATCTTCATGATGAACTCAAGCCTTTAAACTTCTTTCTGCATCATTAGCTATGAGTTTCTCTTTGGAGTTTAGCTGTGATTTATTGTTTTTTTTCACTTTTTATATGTACTTAACATTTATGACATTTTTCAGATGCATGAATAGGAAAAGAAATTAATACGCACCCATGTACTCAGCCCCTAGCTTCAGAAACACATTACAACTACAGTGGAATTCACTATGTGTCGCTCCCACATTGTATCTCCTTCCCTAAGCCATAGGGGCAACCACCATAGTGAATTTGGTGTTTATAATTCCCTCATCCTCTATTCTGTAGGTGATCGGCATTTAGGTTTGTTTATCTTTTCACAGTCATAAACAGTTTTCTATGACCATTCTCGCATGTCTCCTTGTATATATGTGTGAGTTTTTTATGTATCAGGGAGAGGGGGGAATCATCATCAGTTTTACTAGATATTGCCAAATTGGTCTCCAAAGTTATTGTACCAATTTATACTACCACTATCTATCTATCTATCTGTCCGTCCGTCCGTCCGTCCGTCCGTCCATCCATCCATCCATCCATCCACCCATCCATCCATCTATCCATCTGTCTATCTGAACTCCCCTTTCTCTACATCCTCAGTTGTGAATTTAACATTTTTTGCCAATCCGATGGATATCAAATGACTTCTCATTTCCAATTCCCTGACTACTAATAAAGATATATGTGTATCAGTAATGATATAGCTATGTATAGATATGCCATCTAGATTTCTTCTTCTGTGAATTACCTGTTTATATC